CCCAAACCATTTATCACCATCATTATCAGCATATTCATATGTCATTCAAGCCTTATTCCAACTTTATGGGTTGGCAAGACCGACATTCCATTCTATTTAACAAAACCATGAGCTCATGCCCTTAAGTTCCACTTGATTTAGGTGGCCACGTGGCCATTTTTAGACAACAATTCAAAATGGTTCTTGATCAGATAAATTGGTTGCGAACTATGTTGAGTATTTTAAAAAAATTCAAATTATATAGTAAATTTTAGTAAATAGACTAGTCAGAACCTGTATGGTGCACGTGCTTTTTTTAATTGAATTGTAAATTAGAGTTAATGGGCTTTCAAAGAGCCCTAAATACTTATAAACACTTTACCACAAAATTTCATCACAAATATCCCTCATTTAACCCTTCATTACACTATGATTTTAATTTGGTCTATCTCATTGGCCAAAATAATCATTTCTAAAATGCCCTTAATCCTATCATTTATAGACCAATCAAACCCCATCAAATAATCTAAGAGACCAAAACCTCTAGAAACCATATTAACAGCACTTGATTTTTGCTCAATTCGTCATCGAAACCCCAATTTACCCCAAACATTCAGACTGTTTTGATCCTTTTAGAGTACCTAAAAATCCCTGAACACCGTCATCAGACCAAGTACCTCCTAAAAAATCTACCCCTGAAATTTCAACCCAAGATTCCCCTTCGTTTATTCTTTTATCAAACCAAAACTTCCTTTCGAACCTTATCGTTAGCTTGAAGTGCCCACAATCCAAATCTCCTTGATCCTAACACCTCTAAATCAATTAGACCATACAATTGAACCCTAGACACACAAAAAACATTTAGCCATAAATTTTCTACCTAAAATTCACTCATTTGCCCCACCATTGAACAAATATTCCAGCTTGAATGCTCTCGTTGACCCAAATTTCCATGATTTTGGCCCTACAAAATCAACCAGATGTTTCCATAAGATCCTAGACACTCTAAAAACTCTACCCACAAAAAATCAGCCCAAAATACCTTTGTTTGCCCCTCCATTACACCAAGATTCCATTTCAAAGCTTCGCATTGACCAGTTCAAATCCTTTCTGAATCTACCCAATTTTGGCAAAACTGGGTCCATCTAACCCTACCAATCAACTCATATTGCTCAAAAACACTACATTGCCAAATTTTAACAAAAAAATTCCCTCATTTTCTCATCTAGCACACCAAGATTATATTTCAAAGTTAATAAATGAACTGAATAACTACCCCTCTAGATCTATCTAATCTGAGCCTATTTAGGCCAATCTTACCCCACCAATTGATTTAAACTGCCTAAAAACCCCACCCTATAAAATTTCAGTCAAAAATACCCTTGTTTGCCCTTTATATAAAAAGATTTCATTTTGGCCAATCTTATTGACCCGTACATGCAAAACCACTATATATACTTAAATCCATCTCCACCCTTCATTTTTTTAACCCAAAATACCCACCATTAGATTGGATACCCGAATTGACTAAAATACCCATTGAGCTTACCAAAATTACCTAAATACCTAAAATAAATAAATTAATATCATAACTAATTGCGGTATTTTTTAATGATATTTTTGTTATTAATTATGATATTTATTTAATTATTTAATTTATTTAATTAGTAAACTATGTTTATAAAAATACTCTTATTTAATTAACGGTATTTTGATATAATTAATTAGTAATTCATTAATTAACAATGTTTTTAATTACGGTATTTATTTAATTATTTAACAATATTATATGTATTTTTTGTAGCAGTATTATTAATTATGATATTTAATTAAATAAATACCATAATTAATTAATAAAAACTATTAAATAATGTATCGCTAATACTATTAATTAATTAAATAAATTAAATAATTCATTATGAGAGAGGGAGAAGGGAGTGATGAGATGGCTCCATGAGGAAGCAAGAAAGGCTAAAATGATGAGTGTTTAAGAGTTCTTAGTCGGGGTAAGGGAGAAAACTCAGGCCATGATGTGTAGGGGTGCTTATAGTTTGGTTAACCAAACTGTAGGCCTTTTTTTGTAATCGAACCAATACTACCGGTTTTTAGAAAACCGATAACCGAAACTAAACCGAAGCCAATCGGTTAACCGGTTGATCGATTCGATTAACCATCGATTTGGTTCGTTGGTTTTTTATTTTTTTTAATTTTTACAATATATATTATAAAAATATATATAAATATATAATAAGAAAATTATAAATATATATAATATTACATTTTAAAAAAATAAATAATATATCGTATATTATAAATATATATTTATATATAATGCATATTTATAAATTTATAATATATAATACATAAATATATATAAAATATATAGAAATATATGTATACCGGTTAGTTAGGTTAACCAGTGATTTTCTATATTGGTTAACCAAAACCGAATCGGTACCTTCGATTTTTTTAAAAACACCGAACTAATCGGTTTGGCTAACCGATTTTTAGGTTCGGTTTTTCAGTTTTATTTTGCTCACCCCTAATGACGTGTCATGTTTCTACTTTTGTGTGTGTGTGTGTGTGTGTGTGTGTGTGTGTGTATACATACATACATACATAGATTGAAAATTTTCTATCAAATAACAAAACAAAAATATTTATACATAAACATTGAAACTACATTTATCACAAAAATACAATAAATAATTACTAAAAATATAATAAATATAAATTATTGTATATATAAATATATACTAAATATAGATTAATATTTAATATTATTATTAATAAATATTAATTTTCTAAAAGATATTTTGTAGAATTATTAATTGATATAATTTAAATAATGTTTTTATTATTATTTCATTAATAATTGCAATTATTATTCTATTTTTTAATATCTATTAAAAACTCTTTTTTGAAAGTTATTACCTATTTTTGTTATTTAAAAGCTTCGATACCTCTAAATTATTTAATCTATTTTTTATTATTTCAATAATATGCAAAAAATTCTAAATTATTTATTTTTATATTCTTATTGTCAAATATAATTAAATATATTATAATTATTTTTGTGTTTTTTGATAAAATTTTTAAGGTCATTACATAATTTCTTTATTTAATATATTTTATTTGTTTTTAAAAAATATATAAAATATGATTTAGTTATTAAATTTTTAATATCTAAAATATTTAAAATTAGTTATTTGAAATATTATTCATCTATTTAAATAATATCACTATTTAGTTATTTAAATATTACTTATTTATTGAATTTCATAATCAATAAATTTATAAGTTATAGGCTTATACATAATTTTGTTATTAATTTTGTAAAACACAGAATTATTATTAATTCAACTATTATGAAATCTATTATAACGACTTTCTAATTTTAATAAAATTTTTAGGTTTAGTACATAATTTCGTTATTTTAATTATTTAAAATTTAGTCACATACTTTAGTTATTTTAACTATTAAAAATTAGTTATTTAAAGTTTATTACATAATTTCATTATTTTAAAGTTATTAAATAATATTAAATATTTTGCTATATAATATTTTTAATTTAGTTATTGAAAATTTTAAATAATAGTATTTAATTTTAAATTTTATTATTTGAATAATATTTAAATTGAGTTTTTAATAAGTATTTTAAAGTTATTACATAAATTCATTATGAATTTCTTAAAAATGTAAAATTATTAATAACATGAATATTATAAAACCAATAAACCTATGATATTTTTGTGTTTTTAATAAGTATTTTAAAGTTATTACATAATTTTATTTTAATACTTAAATAATTCTTAAATTTTTAATTCGAATTTTATTTTGATATATAAAAATGAAAAGTGGGGGAGAGGATAAATAGGAATTAGAGATAAATTAGGAGAAACTGGGGGATACTAATGCCACTTGAGTAGATTAGATTAGATTTTGGTAAAAGAGAGAGGGCCAGACATGATTAAGAGTCATAATGAGAGAGGGAGAAGAAAGTGATGAGGGGACTTCATAAGGAAGCATGAAAGACTAAAATGAGAGGAGCTTAGAATTCTTCCTTGGGGGAAAGCTCAGGCCATACTTGGCATCATCCTACTTTAATATATTAATGGATTCAAAAATACCCCCCCCCCCTATATTTTACATTGCAGTACCAATAGGATTATGTCAACAGGTCAGGTACTCAGGTATGAAATGTAAGGTACGGTTTTGGCTGAAACTGAACGCAGCCCAGAAAACTTCAACACAAAACCAACCCGACCCATCCTACCTAAACTCAACCTAAGTTATAATGTTAAAAGTTACAAATATTTGAATGCTAGCTGCAATGTTTTAGCATGATTTACCATAACCTGAACCTGACCCAAAACCTAATTAAAGCTAAGTAGTTAACCTAAATAGGTTCGAATCAATGTGGGTTTACCAGCACCTAACCCAACCCACTGACATCGGAAAGAATTTTTGCTTCTTGAATGAAGCTTCCAAGCTTCCAAGCTTCCAAGGATGGACACGTCAGAATGCCTGGAAGGACGCTTGCCATGCATCCATTGAAGGAGCGAAGAACCCTAATTAGCAAAAATAAAATGCAATGTGTCTGTATCTGGTTTATAAATTCTTTTTCATTTTTTTAGGTGAAAACCCGGAAAAAAAAAAAAAAGCTTAAAAATCTTCAACCTCTGGGGACTGGGGTCGTTGGGGGACTGGGGTCGTTGAGGGATTAGGGATTATAGACGAGACGCAAATCGACAAAGAACAAAAATTCTCCGGTCCCACTCATACGAGGAACTCACTTCCGCAGTTGTGATTCCAAGAAGAATTCATGAAAATGTTGAACCTGAAAAACTTAACCATGCATTGAAAATTCCAAAATCTATCAGTGTTTTTATCTTAGTTTTAATTCTTTTGGTGGCCAATAACAGTAACACATTAACGGTCAAATGACAAAAGAAGAAAAAAATTGGAGTTGGGATTTCTTCCACACAAAATGGAGATCAGTAAGATGAGTTCAGTAATAATCAGTTTATTTTATTTTCATACTTATATTAATTTACATAACCGGCTGTATGGAAGCAACAGAGCACATATATAACAGTATTATAATAATAACCAGCCCTGATTCTTTATTATTGTCAACACAAAATGCTTGGATTCAATCCTTACAAAGGCTTTTTCTCCTTCACAAATCTTCAAACCCAGGTCTTCTTCTTCTGAGAAGTACCACCTGTTTCCCGCTCCAAATCCTTCAACACCCTTACAACCTCACCCAACACGACGCCTGGTTTCGTACAGTCTATCCCCACCATTCCGGCCAAGAACCTGAGCTTCTTCTTCACACTTTCTTCGTACAAGATATCATCAACAGAGAATGCTTCGTCATCGGACAACATCTCAACGCCATTGTACACAGAAGTGCCCCCGTCGGACTTGACATCAGAATCTTCCTCAGAGGTGTGAGACAGCTCCGGATACTCGCCATCCATCATCTCCAAAACGATGCTATTTTCTCTGCCAGCCTTAGCTTTCTCAAGTGAATCTACACCCATGCCTTTCAGCCGATCCGAATTGGCGAAATGGGTGTTACCTCCCGGGTAAAAAGCTTTAACAGAACAGCCGGAACGGTCGAAGAAAACATACCGGCGACCATGATTGTAGATCTGCTTGGGCTCCTCGTCTTTTGCAGCCATCGTTGAAAGCATAGTCTGCGAACAGTGGGGTGCCCGTTTTTAGAAACAAATGACAAGAAGTTAACAGTTCAACTGCTATAAGTTGTCCTAAATAGCTAGGAAAGAAAGCCGAGAATAGAGATTAGGAAGGACCCCATAAAAAAAGGATGTGTTGATTATGATTAGAAATGTAGGAAGTAAAGCTGTGACCTGTGAAAGAGATGGAATGGAAGACTGTAAATTTGGCTTCTTTAAGTCTATGGAAATCACATTAAAACATGCCTAAGCATGGCCTTTGGCTACGTCCTCCTTATCTCTTCTCTTATTAATAAATAATAATTGCATTTACATTCCTCTAATTCATGGAGCTAACTGTATTCTGGTTATCTTGGGTCGTCCAATCTGAATGGTCCAGAGTACAAAGGACGCCAGTGGGTGGGGCAACTGCCTATTAGCTTTCCTTTGATCTTCCTCTCTGGGAGATGCTTGGCTGGGTGTTGTTTGATACAAGAGTGAGACCGGAAGTAGTGAAGAATGACTTAGGAGCATGTGAAGCACTAATGGATTTTTGACCAATGATGATGCAAGTCAGATTGGTAAAGACCCGGGTTGTATTTTTGTCAGTATCATCATCATGAAGATATTCGGATCCAATGGTCATGGCTGGAATCGTACTGTAGTATAATATAATTGTACAACAAGGGGGAGCTATATTGCTTCAATATCATGATATCAAGGTTGATCGTATGGCTGTACAATGGAATATGAGTGAGGCCAGGAATCCAATATCCAATATCCATCTGTTTGACCCAATCGCCCAACCATTAACCATACAAAAAAAAAAAACAAAAAACGAAAAAGAAAAGCAGCTGTGTCATAAGTTAATTGGCAGAACTCGATTAGGTCTCCTTTATAATAATTAGAAAGGTAAGAAACGAGTCAGTAGGGTGCGTATAAAGGGTTATCAATCCATTTATGCATTTGGGTTGGAGGACAAACTTGATAACTGATCGGGTATGGATCATATCCAATGCTGGTACCAATTACCCGGATCTTAAATAGGGGTGGACAATACGTAGACCTGACACTTGGCAACTTTTTTGCACAGACTGGCACCCATGTTCATCTCAATCTTGTGAGTTGTGAGCCCAAGATCATATTACCATTGTACTAAGCAGAGGCCCCCCGTATACATCAAACACTGAAACACAATCTATTATTGTGTTGGTTGTAAATATATCAAACTTGGGCCACTTAACCTAACAAATGTTTTGAATTCTATGGGTTGCTAATGTATCCTCTAACTCTAATATCATTAGGGGTCTCAATTCTCTCAAGCATGCATGTCCTACCACCCATGGTTATGGTTACAGTTAATGTGATGCAAAATTTCTTGCTTTATAACAGTATATGTTTCTCACAGAAATGGTAAAGATTGTGTTTGGGTTGGTGGGATGGAAATTAACATTTAGGCTGTGTTTGGTTGAAATACTATGTAAAACCATGGTAGTGCAAATTTTATTTGTGGGTAAATTCTGACTTCAAATTTTAACTTATTTTGTTTGATTTCAGTACAAATGAAATAAATTAAGACATGAAGCATAAAATCTAAAACAAAATTAAACAAGAATTTGCATTTTTTTATATTTGCACTCACATGCATTTGTAACTAATGCAAATAAATTTGCACTGCAACCAAACACAGTCTTACAAACTATATCCTATTGACTCATTTACACGAAATAAATGTTATATTGAGCTAAATTAATTGAATCAGAATCAATTGATTTCAGATGGTTTTGAATGATATAGTAGAGTCTTAGAGATAGAATATGAGTTAAATGAACGCGGACCGGATCCAATTGAACCTAAGCTCAATGATCAATCAAACAGGAGAAACTCTCATAGGGACCCAGAATCTGAATGGCAGAAACAATTTTTATTTACTTGTACTTTTGGGTTGAACCCAGATAAAGACCAAATTTTGTCTATGATAATGTTTGGATCAGCGCCATGTTCTCTACATTAGCATTTTTTTTTGTTGAAACTATTACTGCCACAGAGACATTTTTCAATGCCACATCAGCATACTATTGATAACAATAACATAAAAACGAGAAAACATCCTGACCACACCTTTCCCGAATTTTCAAGTGTGGTCTGAAAAAATATGATTCAGAAAAATGCCCAATCAAACAATGAGCATTTCTTCATAAAACAAATCTCAGAAGTGGCACAGATGTAGTGTCATTCTTTGGGAAAAAAAAATGAATGTTTCAAAATTCAAACAAGGCCTATATCTACTGAATGTGGGTTTAGTTACATTTTGAAATATGGGTCCGTAGAATCCAATTTCCACTAATATGTGAATATGGGTATGGGCCAGGTCAATCTGGGATCTGAATCTGATACGTTTCATTCATGCCCTAGTTAAAGGCATTAGAAAGGGAGAAGTAAATAATGCGGTTTGTGGAGTTGAGTTTATATACAAATGTTGTTAGTGAAAGAATGTGCAAATGGCATATCATTTTGAATTTTTTATTCTTAAAAGTTGGACCATTTTAGGGTTGTTTGTCATTTGTCAACTCTCACTAGGAATGATTTTGCTTTTTCAAAAAAAAAAAAAAACAATTGCCACGTCAGCCTAAACAACTTCCTTCCAATGACACGTATGAATTGATTCCATTTCTATTTTCACCTTTCCTTAGAAAGCATAGTAGCTTCTCATTTGAATTGATTCCAATTCCAGTACTAACCAGACAAGTGTTCTTTCTTTTTTTTTTTTTCAAACAAGTGTTTTGAGTAGTACACCAAGAATGACTGATCATTCATTAATACGTGCAGCCTTTAACATTAAAGCAAAAAAAAAAATAGATCAACCACTAACTTTGAATAAAACATAAATAATGGGAGATGAAAGACAATGATAATTGCATGCGAGATGAATAAGGATAAAGCAAACAACATGAAGAATAAAAGAGAGAGAGAGAGAGAGAGGGAGATGGAGGAAGATTATTGGTCTTCATACCAAAACGTAAACGTGGAATCAAAGCAGACGTATGAGGATGGAATGGAGCGAGATCAGATCTTCAACTGGGCTCCGACGAATCGCACCCTGTTTCCCTCTCTCACTTCGACTTCGACGTTGGACCAGACCAACAAATGACATAACAAATACATTATTGCTTTGTTGTTGAGTGAGGGTTACGTTACTTGCACATTCAATGCGGCTCAATCCAATCACCCACCCTCCTCTCCTCTGACTTCTCTTCACCATCTCTTGTATTGGAAACAACTGTGACTTGTTAGAAACAGAAAGCGACGACAAGCTTGTCTGTGGTGTCAATTACGAGGCGTGCGCTTCCATTAATAACCATCCTGCTCTGCTCCTCTTCCGACTTCCGTGATCCGTCCTATGTACTTCTCCCGGTTACCACATCGAGATAGGATTAGAATTTAGAAATGATGGGTTTGGATTTGAGTTTGGATGTCTCAACTCACAACTTAAGTTCAAGGCCCATGGACAAGAATTAGATACGTAGTGCACAGTACAAGCAAACCCACTCAACATCAAGGATGACCAAGTGGCCCATGCGCAGGAATTCTCGGAATACGGTCCAAAATAGATCGAATGGTTCAAAACTGAAAACTGGGAAAGTGGGTTTTTTTTTTATAATGTGCAATCCTTCCTTCGGCTCATGTTAGTGGTGGACTGGTGGGTGAAGCGAAAAAACCCAAGGAAATAAAAGTCAAAAGATCAGGGGTGTAGTGGATGTGGGTGGGTGGTGTCTGCTCCAGACTCCAGACTCCAGTCCAGAAATGGAGTCGTGAATCGAAGAAATCACAGACATCGTAACGTCGACTCAAAACAAAATAATAAAAAAGCATGGGGAAGGGGAACCCAACCCAACCACCGCCCCATCAACAAACGCACGGGGACGTACGACAGACCGACACCCCCGAGTCTTTGTAGAAGATACAATGAACACGGGGCACGAGCGGGCTGCGGGGCGAACCCTCTTCCCACCTCGCCCAAGTCCCAACCACCCCCTCTCTCTCTCTCTTAATTAATTCGTGCTTTCTCTGACTGTAGAGATAATCTTCCTGGAGTACGGATGTATTTCACTGCACGCGCGAATCAAAGCCTTCGCTCGTGTTCCAAGGTAACAGGACACAGCCGGACAGGGCGAGAGAGAGAGAGAGTAGACGAAGATGGGTTAAATTAAGTCTGGCTGAGTGCTGACGGTGCGGGAGGAGAAATCCTCATCGACGGAGCGGGAAATCAGTCCAGGAGGCCAGCACCCACGTCTCATCTCTTATTAGCTGTTCAGTTCAGAGTTCAGACTTCAGACAACAGGAAAAGAGCGAGCGTGCCTCGCTAGTCACTGCTTCCTGACTTACTGTTGCTGAATGAGTAAATGACGAGATGGCAGATCACCAACTTCACTCCTCAGTTTTCACAACCCCACATGAAAATGAAATTCGATCAAGTCAAGACTAGTCCCAGACTGAATAGTTCACATCAGCGCCTCACCACACCTTACAGCACCTTCCAACCGTGTATTGAGAATATCTTCCTGTGACAAGAATTAAGAAATCAATAGATTTTGGTTTTGGATTGGACCCGTTCAAATTAAAATCAATTTAGACGGATAAGACAGACCAATAAGATATATTGAATTAGACCAGTCCAGACTTAATGGTCTAAAGTATTTATTGGATTGGATTAGACCTGATCCATCCATAATGAATATTGCATTGGGCTGAATTGAGTCTTGAGCCAATATCTCATCTATCAAGAAAAAATAAGAACATAGGTGTCAATAGATCAGATTTAAATTAGAATTAATTTATTTAAAACAAATTTGGACAGATTGGATAGTCCAAACATTGAATTGGACCGGTCCAAAATATTCATTAGATTGGATTGTACCTAATCCATTTGTAATAGACACACATTAGGCAGGACCGGATTGGACCAAATTCAGTCCAATTGACACCCTAGACTGAAGCCCATTCTTTTTTTTTTATGAAAATGTACTATTAATAAATGTTCATTTTATTTTTCTTATCTAAATACCGTCTCTCCCTATATTTGTCATCTTATTCTTCTGCGTCCTATCCTATCTTTTATTTTCCTTTGGTACTTGTGTTTCATAGTGTTGAACTATCTCATTCAAGATTTTGCTGTTCACCATGTTATGTAAAAAGCTCCATAACCATTAACCAATCACAAATGAATAAACCAGTGCCATATATACACGGGACCTACACCCAAGTGCACAGAACACTGCCATGTTCCCTTGTGAATTGTGATGATTGGTTACGTAGCCCTTTACACGCAGCATGGCGATCAACAACACATCCAGGTAGGGGTGAGCAAGAAAGTCCGAAAAACCCTTGTCATTTCAATTTTTGAGTTTTCCCCCCTTTCTCCTTCTTCAGTACCTAAAGGCAATACCAAAACTGAAAACCCTTGCTTTCCTCTAGCACTGATTGTCATCTTCCGTCACTCGACGTCAACATTGGTAAACGGTCGTCCTCCAACAACCTCTCCCCCTCCCTTCTCATTTTCTGTCTCTCCGAAGCAGGTCATCGTCATCATCATCTCTCTCTCTCTCTCTCACATCTCCTCTGCCGCAATGACAATTGCCAACAAGCACCAAGCCACCAAAGTTAGGTGCCCACTACTCCCTCTCCGGCGACACCTATCATCTCCACCACCTCTCACTTCAAGTCAAGGCGACAGCAATCAATCCAGCAGTGGCAAATCAGCCACCACTTTAGTGTTCATTGTCCAAGTTTGACTAAAGGCTTCAGCATGTTTAAGGTATCTTTTTTTTATTTTTTTAAATAAATATTATTTATAGTGTATTTTTTTGTATAAATATACAGGCCTTCAGGTTTCAAGTTTCAACTTTGTATTTTTACTTCAGCTTATTCATTTATAATGTATTTTTTTTCATTTTTTTGGATTGTTATTGAATGAGTGAATGAATGTTGGTTAATAGTTTATTTTGTTTAAATCAATTTATTTTAATATATAAATTGATCTTGATGGAGGAAAGGTTATTTCCTTTTTTTTAATTTTGAGTAAAAAGTTAATGGCTTACTGCACAAAAAAAAAACCCAAAATATCAAACCACAGTTAACCGATCAACCAGTTGCATCAGTTCAGTTTCGATTCGAATTATTAAGAATCCAACCAAAGTCAGTTCGGTTCAAAAAAACTCATGAGCACCCCTAAATCCAGGCTACCCTGTCACAAGGGGAGATAACAGCCCAGACATAGGGAAAAGGCTTGGCTGTGGGATGTTTTGAAATATCATGTGCATGATGCATTAGTAATTGGTGTAGACTGTAGTGTAAGAGTAATTGTAATTAATATTGTTTAATTGAGATGAAAAATAAACAATTACATAGACTAGAATGTCATGAGCAGGAAGCAAAAAAATCAGCCCCCAAACAGACCCGGCTTTATATATCTGACATGATAAAGCAATTTAGCAGGTCCGGATTTAAAGATACGAAATGAGAAAGCAACAGCTCCACATAACATGCTCTACTTTAATTATACCACTGGAAGCGATAGCGAAGATGATCACAACATCCCACTGAATATCGAGGCGGGATGATCAAAACCCATGTAACTGCAGACAGACTGCAGTCTCTCCCGTGGGTGGGTAAAGTCGGGCCTCACATGCACCTACCCTGTACCCAATCCCTATCACTTATTCCCCTTAATCCCCCTTTAACATGTAACAACATGTGATGTGATCCCAAAAAAAAGACTGCGAGATCGGAACATGTCTCTAAAGTAGCTTTTAACAACTGAAGTATGGCTTGAATTAAAATTTAAAAATCTCTATTACATAAAAAAGTCATAAAAGTTAAATCACTTAATTTGCATTACATCATCATACATTTAAAGTTTTCTGTTTCATCCTTTTATCTACGTGTTCTTACACAAGCAATGATAGAAAAGGAATCCACTAATCAAAAATATTAAGCAGTACGCACAGCTTTCCTAAATTATGTGCCAAGACTGTTACAGCCATCGAGCTTTGGCTGACATGTTTTCAGTTACACGTAATAAAATCAAGATAAAGATACACGGATACATCATATGTACACCAATTTTCAGCAGTCATTGGCTACATTTTACAAGAAATGGGAATTCTCCAGTCAAATTGTTGGGGTACTATACATCATGTTTTCACCCAGTATAAAGATTACCTCGCTGCTTTGATTAAGTGAACTTATCAAGTGCCATAGGAATGGCTTTGGGTCATTTAAATTCCTCAACCACCAAGTGCAAAATGAAATGCTTGGGTTGGGTTCAGCAACAATCAAACTCAAAACAGCTGTCGATCAAAAGTTGTACTCAAGATCTTCTTTCTTGGTCCAAAGAAATATCTCACCACTATTTCCAACCAAGGACTAATCAATCAGGCATACAGTAAAAGTAAAATATGGTTCGAATATTTCCTCATCACCTCCTAAATGAATTCATTTGCAGAATGCTAAAATTGGTCTGTCAAACCCAGTGGTGCAGCCTGGTAAACTGACAGTAACATCCTCCACTGTCCTAAACCCTATCTGCAACCACATTAAAGAGCAGAAACCTAATGATCTCAACCAACATGAAGAAATCTCTAAGCTCACTATTGTTTTTTGTTTTGCTTATTCACCTTAGATCATCAGTGGAACAAAAGAAATAACAAAATAATAAAGGTTACCTTGTCCAGAAGTATTTCCTGAAAACGAGATGGACGGAACAGAACACGATGATAATTGAACAATGCTTCCTGCAAGTAATGAAAAACCAGTCTCAATAAATCATGCTTGTGGGACCAACTACTTGTACAGCAAAGAACCTTAACTCCTAAATTGGAGGACACCAATGGAGGATGCTCACTTTTTATACTATTTGGACTAGAATAACAGCTGGATGGCCATGAAATCTAATGAACAAATATACAACCATGTCCAACAATTATGAAAGCATATCACAATTGGCATGGTGAGAAATAATTGTACCTAGGAGTAGCCCCAGTAGGTGATAAAATGAGGGAAAGTAGACTAAGGCTGCAATGCTGCATTTGGCTTTCCTTATTTTAAGGACTTATCTCTTTTTGCAGTTAAATTGCCCCTGTGAACACATAGTTTTTAACTGCAATGAGGAGACAAGTCCTTGAAATAAGGAATGCCAAATGCAGCCTAAGATGGTTTCGTCATGTGAAGACTGAAGAGATGACCATTTTCTTTTCTTTCTTTTTTTTTTTTTTTGATAATTAAGAGATGACCATTTACAACACCAGAAGGAAAAAGTAATCTATTGAAAGACAATTTAAAGTCTAGAGCAAGGAGCAGGCCAAAAAGGAACTGGGTTGTAGTTAGAAATGATTTGAAGGACCATAACTTGACAATTAATATGGCTTTGAACAAGGGGCCATTGCTTGGGGGTGGGTGGGTGTGTATTGTGCTTGTGTGCATGGGTGCGTATGTGTGGCACAGAATAGTATGGAATGGTGTAACAGGACCCATATGGTTGGGACAAAGCTTAGTTGAGTGAGTTGAGATGCCACAACCGGCATCCTGTAATATATGCCAATAGCTTTCTCAATAAATCTTCGGGGAAGAGCTCTACCCCCAGGCTTGTGTTTTCTCAATAAATTGACAGTAACCAACTTAGCATAAACTCATATAAGACATCGACTAAAGATTTGCAGAATTATATAAGCATAATAATTCAAAAAAAAAAAAAGGCTACAGTCAAAAGCAGAATAGTAAGGCCGTTAATACCTCAGAAACCAAACGGTTGCTTTGATATGATTTCCAAGGTTGAGGTTCCAACACAAGAATGCCACCCTGCCCATAATGAGGGTAATAAAATGTATTAAGTTGAGAAGGATAGACAGTTCTAGACTAAGGGGAATCCAACACAACCAACCAACTCCATCTTTGTAGAGAAAGATGAGTGTGAAGTTGTAATTAAGGGCCTCTATAATCTTCAATCATATGCCACAAATATCAAGCAAAAAAAAGGAAAATTGAAATTAATCATCATGGATAATGATTTAATGGGTACCGGACGAAGAAGTCTCCAGATCTCCGAAAATAATGTAATTAGTCCTTCATCACCCCAATTTAGATGGATCCATTTTGTTACACTTAAACTGCAAAATAGGAGTGGAGTCAGAATATAGGTTGACATCAGAATCAGATCATAATAGAATTAGAAGTAACATATAGATTGCAAACCAGAAATAACAGCTAGTATAACAAATGTTGTTCTTAAAATCATATGACTAAAGAATCATCACAAAATTTTAACTATGACTTCGTCAGGGAAACCTTTGGAAAATTTTGTATAAGAAAAGTAATAAATATTTAGCAAGAGGAATCTAATAAAATCTTTTTGTTCATGGATAAAACTTATCATAATTCATAAAAAAACAGAAAGGCCAAAATACCTTTAGCAGAAAGTAACACCAATGCCTTGAATGGCACATGTACAATGATGTACAAGCTATCATAAAGAATAGAATACAATGTATGCCAATGCCAATCATTGCACAAGATGGAAAATCCCATCTTGCTAGAACTCTAATTGAATGAAAACCAACAAAAAAATAGCTTTTCAACTTTTTTTTGATAAAAAACTGAAATCATTAGTTTTTCAACTTTTCCTATGGCATTGATCATCAGACTTGATATGCCTTAAAAATCCTCCTACACCACTTTATATATGTAAACCAACAATATGTGAAAAGGATATAGGTTATGCAAAAAAACACAACCTCCTACTGGACTCCCAATTAACATGGACAAAAAATACCTAATTGTAAATAAACCCATGAATCAGCTTCCACACACCTCCATATCCATTCCCGACACAAGCCAAAACATCAACTACAGTATCAATTCCTCAATAATTCATGATGTGACAAAATCAAATACACCAGACCACCACAGCCGGAGATTATAGTATCCCTATACCATCATATCTACTACATTCAGTAGAGTATGAAATGCAATTCTTGATCTTGACATACAGCCCCAGCACCAGCTAACTCTCCAGAAGGCAAGCCGCAATCAAACACGATAGGCTCCACACAGAAGGATATGTGCTGGCCCACTGATTAAACAAAGTGGACTATCAAACAAAAATTTATTAAAAAATAATTAAAAGCCAACCATGGTCCATACTATCATGGCATTCTCCCCTCCTTGCCAAAGATAAACATCTGCTTAGAAAATTATTGTTCATCAGGTGAAAGGGCCTAAATACTACAATGGGCCTTTTCTTGAAAGTTTATAGCTGGCCTTGTTCATAAAATTATTTACAATTCTTGCAGCATTTAGACAGAAATGTGAAATAAAAATGAAAAGCATTTAATTATCAGACATCTGACTGGTCTCAAAGAAATATCAACCTCAAGTTCCAAAACTCAGATTTTTTTTGTATAAGTTCCAAAACTAAGATATTTTCTGTTCTCTTTTTTACTTTTATAGAGTGAAAGAAAAAAAATGATTTATTTTAAATATCATGGACAATTTTATATGGAGGTCAAATAAAAAGATAAATAACATACCAAAGAATTGTATCGTATTCCTCTGAGTGACCATGACATCTTTTAATAATATTTTCTTTACGGAAAGAGATTATGTCAGACAGACTTTTCTCCTCTGAGGACAATGAAGAATTTGGATGATTCATCGTTCCTCCATTTAAAGATGCACTAACACCATTCTCTATACCATTTGATCCCTCTGAATGCTCAGACTGTCTACTATTTGAGAATTGGATACTGGATTTTTCCATTTGAACAGTTCTTCTAAGGTTCCAACATGCAGACTCAATTAAACCTGCAAAAATCAAGAGCACATTCATATATAAGACAATCATTCCAGCAGAAACCATATAATTTTGTTTCAACTCAATATTGCTATTTGAGATAGACAATACACTCCATTTGAAGTCAGACATTAATATTGAAACTCCAAATAAAATTCACATTGTAAATCCATCAAGTAATTTAAATTAGGGAAAATGGTTGAAATAGGGTAATAAATACGAACAGATACTTGTGCAAGATATCGTAGATTTACAAAATCATTCTCTACTCAATAAATAGAGCACTAGTAGATATTATGGAGTAGAGAAGAGTTTGGATGTTTAATGTTTTGCATAAAAGTTGTTTCTTTCAGGTACAGAAATTATATTTCACCCTAATTGGAATATTGGTCATGAATTAGAAGATTGCAATTATTAATAGCATCAGATTCAAAAGAGTGATTTTTCTTGAAAGTGGAGACCAGCTCTACAATACCCCATTCCCACCTAGGCTACTGGATTCTGATCATTGAATCAGATCTCTACTTGTTGCCCTCCTTTCAACACAATCACCATACATCATTCCATGATCAGCCATCAGGTTCACTCATCTTCCTCTAAGTGACCTGATACATCTCCATAACCATTCACAATCTTATCCCATTCATTTCTTTACATTTCCACCTTATTAAACGTAGGACCATTTCTTTATCAATAATTGTAAAATTTCATAAATAGATGGAAAGAAAATTATGAGTACAATAAAGGCATATAAGCAGTGAGAGATAAACCCTCTTATCTCTCCCCGAAAAATTCTTCCATCTTTTTACAATTGTGCCCAAAACAACTGATCTCTTCCCACCCCTTGTTTAGCAAGAGCATTGCCAAAGGAATTTGCACTTCCTCTGACCCATTGTATTCTCACTTCCATGTTTCGTATCAACCATTTGAATTTCTTCCTTTCATTGTCATATCTCCATAGTTTTGCCTCCTCACTTTGTAGCCACCCCACAACCATGTTGGAATCTCCTTCAATAATTAATATTTTAATGTTCAGATTTTTTCTTGCCCTCTGTACTCCTTCAATCAACATAATGTCAGCTCTTAGAGAATTTCCTACACCAAGTAGGTCTGAATAAAAAGCAATTATTTTTCCCTCTTCATCACTCAACACTCCTATTCTTGAAATGCCCAAGTTACCCAAACTATTTCCATCAAAGTTGAGCTTGAAAAACCCACTTACTGGTGGGAACCAAGTACGAGGGATGACATCCTTGTCTAAACTCAAAAGCAGAATCTGCCACTTCTTTCCAATTTATAAGGATGCCATCCACTGAAACAAGAGAGAAAATTCCCAAGGATTTCAGCCAATGGGCTTAATATAATTGCAATAGTTAGAGGTGGATTCGAGGCAAGCTGATCTGAATATCTGGCTACTCGAGCTCGGCTCGCCTAAAACTATGAGGCTCAAGCTCGAGCTCAATTCGAGCTAGAGACTGGAGCTCGAATTGGGCTCAACTCAAAAGCTCGTAAGTTCAAGCTTGGTTCGGCTCAAGCTCAACTGTGAGCCAAACTTTCCTATAAAAATGAAAAATTATACATATAAAATATTATTTTTGTTTTACATATAAAAAACTAATAATTATAAAAACTAGTTATTATTATACATATAAAAAATAAAAATATTATTTTCTGCACTTCTTGCTTCTACTATCACAGGAGCTGAACTAAAACCACATACCACACCTCCGTCTGCACTGATCAAAGGTGGGTAGGAAAGCAAGACAACCCAAGCTAATCTCTTTTTGGTCGATTCAAAATTGTCTTCTAAAACAAATGCAAACTTAAGACCAAGACTTCTTACTTTTACTCTACTAGACTCTTTAACGAGCTGGTTGATCTTTGATTCATGTAGTGAGATTGGTGCTTCCCGTTCTGCCATTGTTCCTTTCTTTTAGTCTGAAAAATACAATTCTGATTTTATTCCGGTCTACGGGTATGAGACGTAGAGGACTTGGCTACGGACCCCATCTGTTTTTTGTATTGATTGTGGAAGTAAAATGGGTAACATTCCAAGCATTTTTTTCCTGGTTTTGATTGGTTAGTAACAAGTTGTCTTCTATCCTTTTAATTTGTTTTTTATATATAGAGATATTGATGGTGAAGTGAACACCGTATTCCTCTGCTTTACTTTTTGGCTGGTACTATGTATGTGTATGATAATGCCTGTCATTGCTACTCGCCTGCTGCAAAGGACCCCTTGAAAATTATTATACATATAAAAACTAGTTATTATTTTTGTTCAAAATGAAACCTCCAAAAGGCATAGTTTATAGTTAGAGGCATTGAATATGAGGGTAAATCAGACTTCCAAGTAACAGTATAGAATATAGACTAAGAAAAATCACCAAATATCATTCAAATGATTTCCTGCACTCGTTAACAAAGAGAGAAAAATGGCAGGGTATCAGAACCCCTTGCTGAAATACATTAGGCAAAGAGAGATCAATTCTGCTGAGTCAGAAACAACCCAACCAAAATCACAAAAACTGAGAAGTTTAAGACTTGAGTGTTGGACAGAAAACTCCAGAAAAGTCATAAAGATTAAGAAAAAAGTTCTTTGCTTACTGTAACATTCCTCTTCATTAAAACCACTGATAACACTTACTGAAAGTGGATGTATTAAAGAACTTGTTCTCCAATGACTTAAACTCGACAAAGAGTCCAAAACAGTCAATCTAATAAACAATAAGGCACTTCTATTACCTTGATTTATGTCTGAAGCATACTTGTAAATMTTGCTCTAATAACATATTACTTGGGGATATACCAAACTTTATATTTTACAACTACAGAATAGACAAAATAAAACAAAAAAGAAGAAGAAACTAAGACGATACAATACTACAATAATACAGTAAATATTATTAGCCTGCCATGTATAATCCCTCTCACAACCCAAGAAAAATCTGTCCTGGCATTTCATTGCTAGTGACCTTATAAGACACTATTTGGCATATGTAACTTTACTATGGGTTAGCTGAATAAAATGACTATTACATATATACTATTGTAAAGGCAAAGGCCATGCACATGTGCAAGTAAAAATAAGAGTAAAAACCAAAAAGATAAAAAAAAAAAAAAATAGGTTTTGAAATTTTATGTACTGTACTGGTTTGAGTCTTAGCTATTGATTAGATTCTAACATTAAAATATTTAAACAGCTGTCATTTGTAAGTATTAACCTTAATATGATATGATGCTATTAAAATAATCTGGGCTGAGTGTTACTACCTGCACCAAAACAAAGGCAAGTATCGGCATTATATAGCATAGATAATGCACTTCATACCAGTACCATGGGAGAATCAAGATAGAGCAATACATCTCGCAGGACAAAAAAAAGAAGCCATCTTTGCAAATGTAAGACTTCAAAAATCACACCTCAATGGAGAGATCAAACATCAAGCATCTTCACAACAACCACAAGACCTTATATGATATTCTTGAAATGCATATTGCCTCTATACCCAATCCGGTTCAATTTACACTGAATTGGTCATGACTATACTGCAAGTCATGATCATGGAAGGGGTGGACCAGTGTGGACCACCAGCATTTTGTACATTCATGATTGTCAGCCCAAGATTTTACCATTGTAATAAGTAATGTCCCCTTCAATAAAAACAAGGTACTCTAACCAAGAAGGCAAGAATCTTTTAATACAAAAGAATTAAGTACATCATCCAAGAAGTACCCCAACTATCTAGACAATCTATACCTTGCACATTTTGTGTTTGAAAAAGAAGAAATACTCAATTTAATCTAATGAAACATAGGAAACGCAAGAACACAAAAGCACAAGTTAACGCACCTATTCATGTAACTGACGTAAAAGAAAACAAAAAAATGATTTTTCATTAGCTTATCTTACCAATACATTCTTGATTGTAAAGAACAAAATAAAATATCATCAATTGTATCTACTAAGTTAGTGCTGAAAAATTACCACCATCAATGTCTATTCCAAGGATTCTTCGACAACAAAATTTTTTGGCTGCAGATAAAACAGAAGAAACAAAGCAGATTGAATATTAGGTGAAAGGAAGACAAATATTGATAAAAATAAAGTACTGAGATGATCAAACCCAATTTTTTTAACAATTGATATGCATGCAGCTGATTGTTCTTGTTTCAACCTTGTTGGTTACAATGTGATTCACATGAGAGGGGAAAGAAGCAGAATAGGATAATTTCATGTTTATCACAACTACAGAACTGCATCGCATTCCCAAGATAAATTAAATAAAATAGGGCAATGATCAAAATTGTTTCTTGGTATTTTTTCTGCCAGTGCCAGAGGCCATAGTTTAGCCTGTTTATGGCTTCATGCCTGTCGTATCAAGAATTTCCTGGAGTTTGATTGGAACCATGAGTTCAGTGGAATTCTGGCTTAAATTCCAGACCAAGTAGCTTGGAGGTTTTGGGTGGTTTCCTAAATGGAGACAATGTGGTTTCCATTGTTAGCATTGCTGCATGGTCTCCAGTTGGCAAAGCAACTGGGTTTTGGACAGGTAGAGGTGGAAGGGGATTCAAAAGTAATTATTTCATGGCCGAGTGTAATAGACATATCCCATGGACCCCCAAACATGTCTTCAATGAAGTTAAAAAAAGGATTGCAAAGGATTTAAATGCTAAACTCAAGTGGCTAAGAAGGAGAGCAAATGGGTTAGCTGACTCCCTAGCTAAACAAGGGGCTGCAAGGCAGCATTTGTACTGGGCTTCTTTGTAACCTAGCTTATAATATTTGGGATGGCATTCTTGTTATCAAATTGTACTGCTTTCACATATAACTAATTTAATAAAATAAATTTTCCGCTGATAAAAATACAATGTGGTTTCCATGGAAAAACTGAGTGTAGTTTTGGCTTGTATAGTTTTCAAATTGGATAAACACCCTAATCCTTCATCTATAAATTCATGAGATATGGTTACTTGAGGTAGACAATCAGATTCTTCTTTTTGATTAGAAGGGATGAAACTGTTGAAGTGTCCAGTCAAAGGAATTTATGAGCAGCACTAGTTGGCAATAAGATATGAAACAATTAAATGAGAGGCTGATCAAGTAAAAGAAGGCTAATGAATTCATTGGTGAGGACCAATTTGGTGCAAGTTAAAGAACCCTTTAGTGGAAGGTTAAAAGGAATTCCACCTAGACAGAAAGTACTACAAATTCATTCTTCAATAAAAGATTTACTTTAATGAATGTAAAAGAGAACCACAATTCATGTAGATATAGCCAAGATCACATTTGTGGGATGAGGTGAATTATAATTGAGATGATGAAATCATTTGTAGAGAGCCAGCTGTTATTTACAATTAGACCTGTTCATGGGTCAAGTAGCCCGACAGCCCAGCCCACACCCCAGTCGGGCTTGGACATGTAGTTAAGCCCGCGGGCCTGACCCCGGGCCTAAAAGACCAAGCCCGATTGTGTTTCGGGCCGGGCTCGGAATTTGTCAAAAAACCCAGCCCAAGCCCGGCTCGACCCGACTAATTTATATAATATAAAATATATAATATTTATTATAATATATATACACTTTTTATTTTTTCTTTATAATTTCTAAACTTCGAACTCCCAAGTTTCAAAACCCTATCTGAGCCCGACATTCCCCTTTCCTCTCTCACTATGTTCACCGTTTTTGGTTTTCCTGAGAAACTCATCTCTCAAAGGCCAGAGCCTTAGAGGGCAAAGCTCAACCTAGCAACGGTCAACGGATCAGCATATGTTCTTCTCAAGCATTTTCCTCTACGGCGAGGCGGCAATCTCTGGCAAATTGAGCTTTAGGCTTTGGGCGATAGCGGAGATAACAGCAAGTTGAGTTTTAGGCTTCAGGCCCGGGTCCAAGTTGTAGGCCTGATGATCAGGCTAGGCTCGGGGTCGGGCCTTAAAAAAATCTGTTAATGAAGAGTGAAAGCTCAGCCTGAGCCCAGCCCGGCCCATGAACAAGTCTATTTACAATTAACTAAAGATATTTATATGATTCAAATATCACTGTCAAAGTTCAGAGCAGTTCATCATCATCACCATCCACATCTTATCCCAACTATATGGGATTGGCTACATTAAACATGTTTTGCCAATCCATTCTATTTAAAGCCATATCCATTGTTAAATTATTAGTGCTTACATCATTTCTTACTACTTCTACCCATATCCTTTTTGGTCTACCCCTAGCTCTTCTAGCCCCTTCCACTTGTAACAAATCACTTCTTCTAGCTAGAGCTTTTGGTGATCTTCTATGCACATGACGCCATGACCAAACCATCTTGGTCTACTCTCTCTCTCTCTCTCATTTTATCACCTATTGGAGCTACTCCTAGGTTCCTACGAATGACTTCACTTCTGACCATATTCCTTCTAGTTTTTCCACTCATCCATCTTAGCATTTGCATTTCTACCACAATCATTTTCTAGACATGTTGATTCTTGACTTCCCAACACTACTTCATACAACATAACCTTACAATTGTTTAATAGAATTCTCCTTTTAATCTAAGTGGCATTTGCCTATCACACAAAAGTCCAGATGCACTCCTCCATTTTGCCCAAACCTACTCTAATTTTTTGGGTGGCATCCTCCTCAATCTTGCCCTTGTTATGAATTATCAAACCAAGGTACCAAAAAAGGTTACATTGAGTTATCTCTTGGTCTCCATTCCTAAGTATACCTTGTTTTTCACTTCTATTATTATTAAATTACATATCATATATTTTGTTTAAGTCCTACTTATTTTTAAACCTCTTGTTTCTAAGGCATTTGTCCATAAGCTTAGTTTTGCATTTAATCCTTCATTAGTTTCATCCATAAAAACAATGTCACCCACAAACAACAAGCACTATAGAACTTCTTCCTAAATAGGTTTAATTAATTCATCTATGACCAATGCAAATAGATAAGGGCTAAGTGTTGACCCTTGGTGAAGACCCATCATAATTGTAAAATCCAAAGTCTCTCCCACTGGTGTTATAACATTGGTTGTTGCCCCTTCATACATGTCCTTGGTTATGTCTATATACCTATTTTAAACCCCTTCCTTTCCAAGACCCACCATATTATCTCTATAGGAACTCTATCATAAGATTTTTCTAGATCAATGAACACCATATGAAGATCTTTCTTCTTTTCTCTGAACTTCTCTATCAATTGTCTCAAAAGAAATATAATTTTCATGGTTGATCCCCCTTGCATAAAGACAAATTGGCTCTCTGATACATTTGTTTCAAGTCATAATCTTAGTTCAATTATTCTCTCCCAAAGTTTCATAGGCTAAGTTTGGGAGTGCTTATTCAAATAAGCACTTATTTTGGGTTGGGACCACATCAATAAGCACTTATTTGTGTTTAGGAAATAAACCCAAATAAGTGTTTATTTTCAAATTTGGAGCTTATTTTTAAGTGCTTATTTCTTTTCTAGCCTGTCCTGGTCCGCAACGTCATTTTAATAGTACCTATACTATCCCTATTTCAAATAAGTGTTTTTTTCACCAAACACTCATGCAAACTTATTTATCAAATAAGCACTCCCAAATATGGGCGTAGTGTGGCCCAACCACTTATTAAAGCCTTTCCAAGGATGATATCATCCATCAAACACCTAAATTTCTTAATTCATAAAACTAAAAGAGGACATAATTTAACTACAGTAGCAAAGGCTTTGGGTTGAAATGTTTCACATAACTGGATAGTGCCATCTAAGCAATTTGGGTTCTACATCAAATGAGGTAATCCCATTTTGTTTCCCAACAATACCTGAATGCTTCACTAGAAAAATAACACCCCAATTCACAGGTACATCTTGGGAACAATCTCCAGATTTTTATAGAACAAAAATTACTTCATTTCTTGAAATTCTAATAACACTTCTGTGATAACCCCAAACTAAATGAATAATGCTTTCAAATGCAACAGGAAGTTAGGACTATTTCACCTCGTCCCCACGAAATTTCTAAATACTCAATGAGAAAATTACGGACATATATTGTTATTGATCCAAAAAAGAAAATTACGGACATATATGATGTATGGAATACGAACTCAGTTCAAGCCACAGAAATTAGTTGACAGTGTCAAACTTCAAAAAATAGTTACTTTGTTCAAAAGTAATTACAAACTTCTAAAAGGAAATGCAAACGCTAACTGTGATGAATTACCTATACTGATTGTTATCAAACCCTGGTTGCAGCCAATATCAAGGCATTCCTTGTCTTCAAACCATTCCTTCCTCAAGACCGATAGTCGAGGATCTTCCTGTAAGTTCTGACCAATCTGAAATGTAAAATAAAACAACATTTTCAGCTAACAGAAACATACATGCAACCAGAAATACTATTTCAACCAGAGAGAGGAAGCAGGAGAGAGAGAGAGAGAGGACAAAGTCCAGCACTGAAGCAACCAATGCAAATTTACAGCTGAATAAATCTTTTGAAATAGAAATATTATCGAAACCCCACACACGGTGTTTAAGAATTCAACGAAACTCTCAGAGAAACTCTTCAAATACGCTGAATTATAAATTGAATCATACAAAAAAGCGCATCAAAACAAAGCCCGTAACTCGATAAAATTATAATTTAATAAAAATTGGATTGGAAATTAAGGAAATAGTGATTTGAAGGGAAAAAAAATCCGGATTTCAGGATTTATAATGGTTTAGGAGAATTAAGTGGCTGCAAATAAAGATTTAAAACGGAAAATAAATAAATAAATAAAACTTACACGATAACCATAGTAATTTCTGTAATTTCCGTAGATAGCGAACTCTTTACGTTTTCTCTTATTTGCATTTTTCTTCGGCTTCAAATCCTCCACTTCGGTCTTCTCATCGTTCGCCATAGTTCCAGCAGATGCTCTACAGACGGAAGGCACCAAAAATCAAAGTTGAGAAAACTCCGCAGCCTCCGCTTGCCGCTTGGAAGACAAGCGAAAGGAGTTTTGGTAGGGTTTTCATTAACCGCCAATAACAATGCGTGAAGAGAGAGTGAATTTTGCACAAATCACAAATGTGCCCCAATGCGATCAAAATCGCCGAGATGACCCTCCTCCCGAGGTTTCAGTGTCGAATGGGGTTTTATGGCCCGCTCCAAGTTGGACTTCCGATTCGTTAAAATGAAGTTATGAATAACTAGGCCCACTTCTTGAATAGTGGATTACGGACCATATGTCAGTCATTCGGTTGGGCAGCCCAGCAGAAGCGAACCGAATCGACCCAATTCTACAGGTCTTTTTTTCTTCAAAAGGTTGATTTTGCATTGCGTCTCCAATTATAAGAAGGTCGACACTGCATTATTTGTAATCTATTTATCTATACTTCTATATAAAATGTAAGAATGAGGGTGTGAAAGATTTTTTGGTTAAAATATTTATATTTGTGTATTTAGCTCATCTTTAATTATGAGGGTTGAAAATGTAATTTCAATTAATGTTTTTTACCTCATTTAACCCTCTCTCATTGAGTTTTATATTTAAAAAATTAACTTTCATTCTCTATTATTAAATCCTTAGATCTATGTCCAATAATTTTAATAATATAGACCCATATATTTTAAAACTTATTCAAAAATAAAACCATTCTTTATAGTTTGGAAAAGTGACGACTAAGAAATCCAATCATTCATATCAAATTGGCCGATTTGTGAAGTCTTAGTCAAATAATAAATTTTTTAAATATAAATAAATATAGAAAATTAAAAAAATATAGAAAAATTAGACATGTTTATGATATTTTTATTAATCAAAATATAAGTATAATAAACAAAAATTATTTTATTGATGATGAAGATAAAATACATAGTCTAAAACTAACCAAAAATGAAATTATTTTCTTGTTTGACAGAGATCAATAGTTCAACTTTTGGGTCAAATGTGTCAATCTTTAATGTCATGATTAAATAATAAAAATTAATAAAATATGAAAGCATATAAATGAAAAAACACATAAGTTTTAGAAAAAAAAACATTTGGGAACATGTATAATATCATATATTTACATATTAAATAAAAATAAATATACTTAACATAATTATTTTTGCACACGTAGAAATAAAAAATACATATATAAAAAATTTTGAATACATCCATAATTCTATTTTTACACTACTATTAAAAATATAAATAAGATTATGAAATTATCTTTTGACTAAAATACTATTTTTTTTTAATTTAAGCCTTATTTAATTGTGAGGTTTAAAATATAATTTGAATTATTACTTTTTACCTCATTTAATTCCCTTTCTTTAAATCTTACATTTTTTTTTATAAATGAACAAAAAAAATACACTAAGAAAAACAATATGAGGTCTTTTACATAATTGGATTTGGACTTTTCAATCTACATCCAATTTATAATTTAAAACAAAAGAATATAAAAATTACATGAATTTTATAAAAAAAATTTGGATACACTATTACTATCACTATTATCATCTATAATTGCTACATGCAAGGCACAAGTACACTTACAAGTATTATTAAATAGGGCATAAACCACATGGCATATGGCTTGGTTAGGTTCGAACCCATTCAAATTTTGACAAATTTTTAACCCAACCTCACCCAAATTGCATCCCAAATTATAATGTCAATATTAATAATTTCCTACGTCTATTGTCAAATTACAGGTTAAAAGTATAGTTGTTAATCTGTCACTCATAATCAGGTCTTATTAGGGCAGCTCAGATAGTTGTAATGAATAATTGGATGGGTTTCAAATCTATTATTACAAACTCCTTGGGGTATGAGGTTTGGACCAGGTCGACCCTGCCTTGGACCAAAACTAACTTATTATTGACAATACTAGGTGGGTGAGTATGCACAAGCTTAGCATATATATAAGAATAGGTGGCCAAGGGTAATATAGGGATGTGGCATGATGATGGATCATGGTGGTGTTTTTCATCTATCTATATTCTAAATCTCACAAATTTTCATAATAGATATTAAAGCCACCTTACCAATTTTATCTTAGGGCTATGTTTTGTTTGAATGAAATGATAGGGAAACATTTACAAACCAGGAAGGGAAAAAAGTAAGAAAACCTATACAAGGTTTGTGAAGGTTTCCCTACCTTTCCCTACTTTTTCCTTCAAACCAAACACAACCTAAAAATTTATAACACTAGTGAGTAAAAATGTTCCAAAAATAAAATAAAACCAGCTGGTTTGAAAATAAAGTAGTTATTAAAATAAAAACACAAAAAAAAAACATGCTCTTCTTTATATGTGTTTTTTGTTCTCCAAGACCGAAATGAAGAACATGTACTCTAATGTCTGATTTAATGAACATGTTTCCATCCAGTTATTTAATATCATGCACTATAGATCATATAATTTTTACATTACAGAATTTGTATTTGTTTCAAAAACCATCGTTTTGATACTTCCAGAAACATGTATCATTTTTTTTTAAACAAAACCAACTTGTTTTTTGCCTTTTTAAAACAAAATTATAGAGTTGTAGAGGGTCTTGGTGAATCAACTAGCAAGTAGCAAGTAATAGAGTATACTTAGCTCAATGGCCTTTTTACTTGCTTTAAGTCAGATCGTCCTTGAAGAAAAACTCTTCTAACAACACAATGATATCAAATGTTTTCTTTTCTTTTTTTTTAGAGCCTATGCCTCACCCCTCCGATACCCAATTGCCTAAATATATATACAAGGATCTATCTTAGAGATCTTCATGACTCAATTTGGGTATATATACTTTCATGCATGGTTCAAAGTATTGATACACCTTTGTGTATAGTAAGGATGATGTATGGGTGCATTAAACCATGCATTTTTTTTTTCAAATTCTTGTTTTTTTTTATAAATGTTTTTATATTATTTAATAAATAAAATAAAATGGGTTCCTAAATAGACGTATCCAAACCCTACATTGTACACTTTCCATTAGGCTGTGTTTGGTTTGAAGGAAAAAATAAGAAAAGGTAGAAAACCTTTACAAAACTTGTATAGATTTTCCTACATTTTCCTTCAAACCAAACATAACCTTCATTAATGCGTGGGAGAGTGAGAGTCGGACCTCTGACCTCTCCCTTTGCCAAAATTTATTTTATTTATTTTTGAAAAATTTAATAAATCCTGTCAGCTTTTTGATCCCAAATCCTTTGCTTTATCTTGGTATGTATTTAATATTATCATTGACATCAAAAGATTAGATTTCGGAAAAGTGATAAAGACATACATCATCTTAAATTCATTAATTCTGTGTTATATCAATATAAATTAAATGCACCTTACCGAACTACAGAGGAAGGGTCCATTAAATTTTCTACTAACTTCCTCTTTAATGCGTTCCATAGTTAATCCCAGTAGTGGGATTATGGTTATAGAGACTAATAGTGACCAGCCAAATACTAAAGTAAAGATTGAAAAGCTTTATGGGGCATGCATTTGAAATGATATGCACGGCCTCTACTTTAAAACATTATTGTATGAAATGTAATGATTAAAGAGTCACCATAACTAGATTATGTTTGCTTATTGCGTTTGCCTTGGAGTTACAAAACTATATTATTAAATTATTTCCAAATCAAATCACTTCATCCCCTTCGGCTCAAAATTAAACGGGATACAAATTTTCACCCATATCAGATTGCATCCTTTTATTCGTGACCATGATTTTTATCCTTATTCCTTACCTCATGCAAAATTTGCACTTTAATTCTATCGATATCTTATATAACGTAGGATTACATCATACAAACAATACAAGGTCAGAAGTAAACCAGAATTTATACTCAACCCAGTTGCTCTTCCGTGCATATATATGCCAGTACAAATGAAATTTGCCTTGTAAAGCAAAAGTAAACCAGAATTCACGCTCTGCTTATTTACACTTCCGTGCATTTACACCAGTGCAACCAACTGAGCCTCTTATGGGGTTATGCAAAAAAATTAATGCTCTATCTAGCTAGCCCAGCACTAGAAAAAATGTTTCAATGGAATGAACCCAATGCCCATATATAGCCAATGACATACATCCTCTACAAGACCAATATCTTAGGAATGTTTTCACTTGAGATTGAGATGGCTTTTATTTATATATATTAGATTCTCTCTGAGATGAATTCGTATCTCCTAAACTCGATGCTTTGTTCCAAGTTGTATACTAAGCAATGAGAACTCACCAAAATTCAAGGGGTTGGCTTGTTATTGATCACAAAAAAAAAAACTCTTGATAAGCTTAATGGCTCAATTTGTTTTCTTGGCGCAAATGTGCACTGGTAGATGATTGCAGAAGCCCATTTAGCTTCCCCAGCTCCCAATTGTCTAGTCTCCAACCAAAACTACCAACAACATAGCTCATCCCCTTGCCAAGTTTGTGTTTGTGACTCTTAATTTCCCATTAACTTAAATTGAAATCAAGAGGAACCTCTAATTCCTATAACGACCGGCCTTCTCTGAAGCTTTCAGTGACATTGATTGTGACAACAACTTATTCCAATCTCACTTTCTCACAAGGAATTACTTTTCAACTTAAGCCTTTCTCGGTAAAGATTTTTTTTTTTCCTTGTTGTGATGGGTGTAGCCGGGTCCCTTACCTCCTTTAGATGGTCATTATGGGCACAAAGGACCCAGCCTCCACCCCTTCACTGCCTTATGCTTCATGATGATATCCACCGCTCAAAGAAAAATGGTCTTTAGCTTCTCATCAGCAGAGCAGGGATGGAAGTTGAGGGCAAAGAGGGTCCAACTTCAATGGATCTCCATAAAAGAATTAAATAGAATTTGTTCCTCCACTTTTCTTCTTGTGGGTTCTCTCCACTGACCACAGGAAGCTCATCCACAGTACTCCACAACCAATGTTAAAATGGGAGGGATTCTTCTTCCTCATCTTGCCTTCAAATGCTTATAAGCTGCAGTCTGCAGAAGAAGGGTTCCCACTGAATGAAGAAAGACACCTAAAGAGTAAGCCTATGATTCTTGTTAGACATGAGAAAATTTGCTTGGTGGCTCTGTTCATGCTACAAAAATCTTTCCTGCTTTGCATAATAGTATTGTATGCATGTCTTGGAGTTCATGATACATTGTGTTTAAGTTGTTTTGTCTCGGGAAATGGATAAGTGTGCTTGTCGTCCCAACTACCCATCTCATTGGCTGGAAAACATAGAAGAAGATGGCCCTGCAAGCTGGGTCTCTGTGAGATGTGTCCCTCCTGAAACACCCACAGAATCCATGGAGTTTCTTTCTAGGTCATGGAGCCTCTCTGCCATGGAGCTCTCCAAAGCTCTTAAAAAAACAACTCTCCAATCTTACGTCCTTGATAGTGCTCCCTTGGCTTCCAATGGTACAAAGTTGCATAATTCGGACCCTACTACAGCTTCATTCTCAGCTGAGAGGACTTCGACAGAACTTGTAAGATCCCCCTCAGCTCATTGCTTTCGCTCATACTAACTTATTTGAACTCGGTCATTGGATCAGTAAAAAGAGCGAAGCTATAGACTTTTTTTAGTTCTCTGGTTCATAGTTATGCTTTCAAAGTTGATTATTTCAATAATTAAGGGTCAAATATATTGCTTTCAGAGTGACCTTTCCAAAGAAAGGGAGATTTCTCCTGACGTTGGATCCTACGATAAATTCAAAGTAAGCATCAATAAACTCGATTATTGATAAGGCCATGGCTACTTCCAGTCACCTGGTTTTTTTATGTGTTCTGTCTGTTTGTCTAATGTGTTATACAGTTCATTCAACAACTACCCACTCTACAACCACGTGGTAGTAGCCCTCCAATTTCTCCAAGAGAGAGTGAGGATACGAAGGTACTAGCCTACTAGGATCTCTCTCTTTCTCTCTCTCTCTCTCCAACATAGACACAGAATTGCAGTAATAAAAGCAAATTAAATCATACAAAATAACAAAAAGTAGTACTCGTAAAACTGAAATTACAGCCATTGCTGCGACGTGAAGGTGCCAACTTGTAATAGCACGCTTGCTCATCCTAAAAAGGGGTAAAGACTAAGGAGTGAAATTGTGAGAAAGGAAAAACCTGGATTGCATAGACCATTTTTTGTATGAAATTCCACAAGGCCTCTCCTTGAATGCTGTATGGTTAAAATGTGGAGTGTTCAATTTTGCCATCAAATTTTCAAAACCTGGAGTTACTGAGAAAGCCTTCAATGTAATTAGGAGACTCCAATAGAGATTTCTTTTTCTTTTCTTTCTTTTTTTTGGCTATCAACTCCAATTAGGATGAAGAAACATATCTACTTGCAACCAGTGAGAGCTACTAAGGTGGTGCTTGATGATAAATGCTGAAACAGGGGCTAAACGTGGTTTGCGGAAAAGATTCCAAATTTTCGCAACTCCTCTCTTATTTTCCCAATGATGAAACAAGGGCATTGGGGTGATTATTATCTCCAGGCGGCCAGGCCCCATATACAAATCATTTTTAAATATTGAATCCTTTATCCGTTTTACTTTCAGAAAGACCACCTAAATTGATGAAATCACAAAAATTTAAAATAAAAAGGTTGATTAGTTTGTATTTGGAAGATGGCATGAATGCTTTTACAAAATGTTGATTTCTTTGCAGAATTTACTTCAAGCACTCCATTCAGACTTTCTCTCAAACCAACAATTACTCAAAAATGGGGTATCATATTCGTATCTACCCATCAGTGTATCGTGTTAATATCATCATCGTTGTTCTGATTGTTTTTATCATCAGTCATCACCATCATCATCCTTATTTATTATTATCATATGGAGTTTTCTCAGATATATAAGAGCGCCATGAGAGCAAAGACAGTGGGTAGATGGTTGAAGGATCAAAAGGAGAAGAGGAAGCAAGAAATGCGAACTCAGAATGCGCAGTTGCATGCCGCTGTCTCTGTGGTTGGTGTTGCATCTGCGGTTGCTGCACTAACTGCAGCAAGTGCTACAATACCAGACACATCGGCTTCCCTAAATAACATTGCTTCAAAGACATCAGTAGCCATAGCATCAGCTGCAGCACTTGTAGCATCTCATTGTGTCGATATTGCTGAGGAACTGGGAGCAGATCATGATCAGATATTAGCAGTGGTAGAATCTGCTGTTAATGTGAGGACCAGTGGCGATATCTTGACCCTCACCGCTGGAGCAGCCACCGGTATTTCAGATTCTGTCATCTCCAACCGAACAAACTTCTCAAATTCTTTAACGTGATGTTTGGCATCTATACCGTTTAACGGTGCCACATCAGAGAAAGCAGTGCTTCAAACGCCTTCTTGTTTGGTACCATTTTTCCAAAAAAAAAGAATATTGCTTGCTCCAGAACACATCTTGGAAATTAGGAAATTATAGTCTGGAGCAATGTCAAATTCAATGTTTTCTAAGAAAACGGTACATTGCTGCAAGGAAGCGTAATGATGTGACATCATCTTGGACGTTGGATAATATAAATCAATGCTGAACACATTACTGCCAGCACTGGTACCAAACAAAACCAGTGTCGTTTTCTTAGAAAACACCTATATGGCAGTACTAGTTCCAAACAAAAAATAAGCACCGTTCTTTAAGAAAACGATACTTACAAGTTACAATTCCATATGCCCAACACCATTTTTATAAGAAAATGGTACAATGTTTCCAGCACGGATGCCAAACACCTACTGTCCTCCTAAACTAATCAAAACGTCTGTCAGCATTTGTGAATTTTTTTCTCCTCTAGTTTCAGTGAAAAGTAAAAACAGATCTTCCATTGAGAAATGAGAATCCCCTCCCAGGCTTGCTAAAACACCCCCTGAGTTCATGGCCTTACATGTATTGCAGTGGCCCCACCAAGAAATCACTTCATCTAATTCAAGATGGGGTCATAGCAATAAATCAAAGGCCTTGATTTAGCTGTTTCAGCACAGGGCTAGGGCTAAGACACTGTCATAGCAAATGTGGGTTGTTCCCCTCCCCACATACTCTACGCAGTGGACCCAATTCAGAGAGTTAATAGAAGAGCAAGACTATATCTAATATCTGAAATTATTACCTGATGGATAGGAAAGGTTGCCAAAACTTGATAACTTTATGTAAGAATAGCGTATCTGACACTCTTTCTCTGCCCCTGTGTACCTAAAGTGATGGCCAGCTCAGTTCCTGAACTTCCTTGTCAGGAGTCAAAGAGAGAAGTTACCAGTATACTAATATACTATCTCCCTGCCGAAGCTATCTAATGTAACTAATAATTTCTCATTGCAGCTTTGAGAGGAGCTGCAACTCTCAGAGCGAGACAGCAGAAGGGTAATTGGATCTCTGCACTTCCTCCAGTTGAGCAACAGCTTGGGGATGACAAGGAATTTGAAATCTCAACGTCACTGCATTTTGTTTACGGAGAGGGAGAGCTTCTAAAACGTAATAGAAAAGGTATGTCCCCCAGCCCGAGACCGGATTCAGTCTTCACAAAATTTGTCCCATTCTCACAACGCTTGCAGCTGTGCATTTGGAGCATCACTGAACTTATATTTTTTCATTCATGGGGAGATGCTCCCAATGCAGGGCTGCAAGTGTTGTGACAACGGTGTGAGGACAAATTTTGTCCCCCATCCATGCCTCCAAATTGGATAGCTCTATCATCTATGTTACACCAACATCTGCCCACACTCCACAAGCCACAGTCGCTACAACCGATTTATTAGCACCAGTGACCAAGCCAATCAGCACCATCGAATATGTAACCGTGTTAATGCTACTCCAACGAAGGTTGCCAGTTGAAAAGAGATGCAACTCAATTCAACCAAGCCTTGGTCCTGCAAACAGAGATATGGCAAGGCTCATCAAATGATTAAAAAGCCTAATAACGGTTCATGAATCATGATGCTAATGTGGCACTCTCAGTAATTTCACTTTTATTTGCAGGAGCTCTTCATTGGAAGCAAGTCTCTTTCTACATAAACTCAAATTGGCAGGTAAATCCTTACAGAACAGAATGAATTTGATTATTTCCAAGTTGAAGATGCTATTAGTGTTATAAATTCAGATCATTAGAATGCTTTATAACTAGTGTAATTGAAACCCGGAGCAACCATAAAATGTTCTTATGGATCTTGTAGAAACGATTTTCCCTTTTTCCTTTCTTCCTTTTTTCCTTTTTCCTAATAATGATTAAATTACTGGACCAAATTATTGCAGGTGATAGCTAAGATGAAAAGCAAACACATGGTTGGAACATTCACTAAAAAGAAAAAGTGTAAGCCAGGCCAAGATACCACGACCCATTAATACCTCAGTTTTTTTATCATGCTTGTCATGATCCTGAGCCTCACCTTGCTGCTTTTCCAGGTTTGGTGACTGGTGTATGTTGTGACATCCCAGCATGGCCCGAAAGAGAAAGGGAAGAAAATGGAGAGCAGAGAGCTTACTTTGGGATCAAAACAACTGACAGGTTAATTGAATTTGAATGCAGAAATAAGTGTGACAAACAGATGTGGATTGATGGAATACAGAGAATGCTAGATTCCAGCACCAATATGCTAAGTTAAGTAAGAAGTCAGGGAACTGGACATGCTGGAAGACTATTGACAAGATTTCAACTTCACAACAGATAAATAAATAAATATATCAAACTTTCTAATCTCTTGTCAATCCATTGGCTAGAAAGATGTTTATTACAACACTTTCTACATTAGGCAAACCGATTTTATCTACAAAAAGGTTGATGTTATCTCTTATGCAGTGCTTGTGGATGAATCAATTTGGCAGTGTCAGCTTTTCATGGACAAACCCATAATGAACCTCTTCACTGATTCAGCCACGGCAAACTTGGTCATATGATGACATTTCCAGAGTCACTCAAGTTCTTTCAGAAAATCAATGTTATCAACAAAAACCTGCATCAGGAAGAAGAAATGACAACGGAGTCAGAGAAAAATGAAAATACAGAAAGGAAAAGGGAAAAAATTTTAACACAAGCATCCTTAAAAAAAGAAAAGAAAAGCTAAAAGGAAAGGACCATATAGATATTCTTAAATTTTAAACAAAAATATTTGAGTTTACCATTAACTGATTTTAGAAAGAAGCAATAAAGATTCATTACCCGATATTGGTCGAAGCTATCTGACATCTTCTGAGGGGTGGATGGCATACAGACCTAATTTCAAGATTTTTCCCCCCACAAAGTGGCTGCTCTCATATTCAAATGCATTTTCTCATGCTTGTCAACCCAAGATTTTACCTTTGCACCAAGCAATGGCTCCTAATTGGCTAACAGATGTAAGAGTGAAAAATGTACAAAGCTCTTGTGAAGAATCATATAGTTGAAAGGCATTTGTGGACATACGTGAATGTGGGTTAGCTTGGTCTCATGAAACTAGGGTGCAACTTGGGTGGGGCTTAGTTGAGGATTTGTTAAGCTTTGAATGCTATCAGCCCGAGGGCCTGGGCCCGATGCTGTGAAATTCTTCAAATTAGGTACCCAACTTGCATCCCTACATAGAACACTAAGTACCAAGACCAAACTCTATTAGCTCTGGGCCTCTGGCAAGTTTAGCTTGAAAACCAATATACTGTTTCCAAGCCAATATAGAAACCTTTTAATCTTTGGTTCAAAGGAGTTTCTATGCCTACTAAATTGGTTGTTGTCTTTCCTGTAATATTGCCTCCATCCACTGTTGAGAATTCAAGCAATTTTCAATATATTTTAAACTTCCAATACTTGTGCATAATGATTTGCATGATCTACTGGTGAGTACTCAATCTTAGTCCCATGCTAATAAGATTTAGCAGTCATGACAAACATATGCCAATTAATGAACAGGGGAAGGATCTGCAATTCCAAGAATGGGGGTTTAGGGATCAGGCCTGTGAAAAATATCAGCACAGCCATGCAGGGGAAGTGGTTATGGAGATTTAATGAACAACCAAATAGTCTACGGAGAAGATCAATAGTAGCCAAATATGGGTCGAGGAGAAGAGAGTGGGATATGGAAGAAGTCAGAACATCCTATGGGTGCTCTATATGGAAGGCAATTCAAAAGTCCAACATCAATTTATGAAAGGAATCAAAGATGAAGTTGGAATTGGCCTCAGGGTGCTGTTTTAGAAGGATTTATGGCGTGGTGATGGAAATGAATATGTTTCCTGATCTATTTCAGATCTCAGTAAACAAGGATGCACTTGTGGCTGATTGCTTGGAAAGACAGAATGGTCAATGTATCTGGAACCCTCAATTCAGGAGGAATCTAAATGATTGGGAGGTGGTTTCTTTGGTAAGGTTATTTCAAGTATTGGATGAAGCAAAGATAGCGGAGTAGGAGAGGACAAGAGGAAATGGCTCTTCGAGAAATCTAGCACCTTCTCTGTGAAATCCTTCTCCCATAGCTTGTCTAGGGAGGAGCCTTGTGACTTCCCAAGTGACAAAATCTGGAGCAGATCTATTCCCTCTAAACTGGCTTTCTTTGTTTGGTCAGCAATGCTGAACAAGATTTTAACAAAAGATAATTTAGTTAGAAGAGGTTTAGAGGTGGAGGATTTGGGCTGCATCTTATGTGGAATCTTCTAGTCATTTGCTGATTCACTGTGACTTTACCCGTTGGATTTGGATGAAAGTGCTGAATTTGTTTGGGGTTAAGATGTGCTTCTCTGCTGATGCGAAAGGATTTATAGCAGCTTGGACACCTGAAGGTTTATCCAGGGCTGGAAAGGTAGCTTGGAGTATCCTTCCTGCAGCAGTTTTTAGGGTAGTATGGGGTGAATGAAATAACAGGTTGTTTGAAGGAAGACAAACTCCGAAAGAAGAAGTTTTTAACAGAATTTTGGGAATGATACACTCCTGGTTGGCAGTTAATCACCTATTCAAAAATAGGCATATGACTTCCTTTTTTGATTCAGATTTCCTATTTGTAAGAAATCTATACTTTTTTAGTTTTTGAAGGACTGGGAATTTGTGGATATCGGTTTTCCTGCTGTACAGTTTCTCATTGTACAGAGGATCATTTGTATTTTGGCTTTTGATATTAATGAATGACTTTACCTTGTTCTCATAAAAAAAAATGCCAATTAAGTCATCAAAGTAAACCTCTAGGAGAACATAGTCAGAAAGACAAGATATCAGAACATAAGCAGATATAGTCAAATATGTAAAAGCATCAAGACAATACATGAAAAAAAATAAACATACTGTTTTCCATCCATCAGGATCCAAGCAGGCAGTAATTTTGGTGTTGATGCCAGGTAATGGCCCAGGTTCTCGAGTGACCTTCCCACCACACAGTTTAATTGCTTCAGCAGTCTTATAGACATCATCTGTGCTTATTGCTACCTAAAATGTATAACAGTTCAGTTACAATACATGCACCCAATAAGACCAATAGGGAACTAGAAACAACCTCACTAGAAAACAGATGCATGCAGAAGAAAATATTATGTGTTCATGTGTACATAAGTATATAGTTACACATGTATATTATGGCAATAGCACCCATAAGAAGTGGCTTGTTGCGAGTTGAAGAGGCTAGGACTGGGGGTAGACCAAAAAGGAGTAGAAGTAGTAAATGATTTAGGCACCAATGATTTAACGGTGTATATAGCATTAAACAGAAAGGAATGGAGAAACAGGATTCATGCAGCTGACCCCATATAGTTGGGATAAGGCTTGAATGATGAAGATGATGATAATGCATATTATGGCAAGAATGCCTACAGTGCATGCAGTTTAATGTGTACATGGTGAGGCAAGGGATCATTACCTGTGCATAACCATTTCCTTTGTCATATTCAGTGACTCCATAATTATATGTCAACTCCAACACTGCATTTTTATCTTCAGGACCATAGCCCATCATGGCTATTGTATACTGAACAGTGAGAAAAATTAATAATCAACAACCAGAAAAAAAATGATGTAAATGATGACTTGAGCTAACATAATTTAACAAATTCAAGGACCACCAGCCACTGAAGGACCACTCATCCCATTCAGAAAGGCAAGCTCAGGGACAATGGTTCCAAAATCAGATATTCTTTGCAACTCATTGATCCAAAAACCTATTATTCCTCTTCTTGGATGTACAAAAAGTTGAGGACTCAGTCTCAGCATTTTCTATTTAGCTTTATTCATTAAGTTTTGTATACTGTGCAGTTATGACCAGAGTGAAACAAACATGAAATCTTAGTCCACTTGAGGATAATCTAAGTAAGCTAGTGAACTGAATAGCATGAAATTCTAGTGTACTAGAGGATATAATGCCCAAACAGACTCACTTAACTGCAGTCTACAAGTCCATCACACTAGGGCTTGAGTATGGTTTGGTAGTGTGATGTATGAGTGCCAAAAAGTCTATTTATTGGTATAATGAACCTAGACATGGAATATTTGAAGAGATGGAACAGCAGGTAGAGGATCTGATAGACCTGATTAAGGTATGGGTGGTTCATTGAGCCTTAATTAAAGAGAAATCCAAAGAAATACCATGAACTCTCTATTGAGGAAATGGTCCACTATTGACGGTTTTATCTATAGAAGGTTACAAAGAACCTAATCATGGACTGCCCCAGAAATGGAAAGCTCAAGCTAAACTTTGATGAATGTACTCTTGGAAACACAGGTCAATCGGGCATTATAAGGGTGATAAGAGATGCAAATGGAAGTATAATACTAAGTTCTTCAGGTCCAGTAGGGAACTCTTTAATAGCTGAGTTGTTATCTCTCCTTCAAGGATTCAAATTAGCATCCTCTCTTAAAATTTCAAATTTGGTAGTGGAAGGTGACACCAAATGGTTGTTTCATGGTTCTCTTCAACAGCATCAGGCCCTTGGGCACTAGGAATCTGATTAGCGAAGTACAGTCTTTGGGAACCAACATGACTTCTAGTTCATGTGTCCCTAGAGATGCCAACAGCCTTGCTGATGTGCTAGCAAGAATTGGGACTGCAAGAAATACTCTGGTATGGAGGACCCCAAGTAAGGGCTTGATTTGCAATGAAGTGCGAAAATTGTGGTAGCACGATGGGGCAGCCTATGGCCTTATTTCTTTTTGTATTGATTAAGTCTTAGAAAAGAAGCTCTCTACTTTTCTTTCACAAATGAAGCTTTTTGGACCATTAAAAATAGAAAAACATGAATGTATGGATTCCATACATTATGTTAAAAGTGGGCTATTATTTTTAATATTTGGACCTGCATCAATCTAGGATGGACTTGACCCATTTATGTATGTAGAAGTAGACATTATGTTAAAAGTGGGCTATTATTTTTAATATTTGAACCTGAACTTGCCAAATAACTTCAGAGCCCACTAAAAACTAGATATAAACAAGACCAGCCAAGTCTGAGTTGATCCCGGTGCCTACAAGTGCCTAAGTTTCATTTTATAATGGTGAGCCTGAGATGAGTTGGGCAAAGCTCATATGACTTAAACCCCCATATGCACATACTCATTTCACAATAAATACATAAATGATTCCTTGATTCATGAATAGATGCAAAAATGTATGTTATCTAATCTACCAATAACTGGAAGATGTCAAATTACCTGATACTCAGGATTATCCCGTTTGCAGAGAAGTTGCATGCCAAAAGCCTATAAATGCAAAGAACACACAGTGTGAGGCTATAACTGCAGAACTAACTAGGGACAAGGAAGTACTTTTTAATTCCTTCCAGAGCAACACAAACCTTCTCATAGAAATTTATAGAACGATCAAGATCACCAACTCGAAGCATTATTTGACACAGTGGCTCAGGTGTTGGTCCCCTTTCCAAAAGCTCAAATTTGTAACCATCAGGATCCTCGACAAAAGCAATTACTGTACTACCACCTTTGACAGGTCCAGGTTCTCTTGTTACCTTCCCACCCTTAGCTTTTATGAGATCCACAGTCTTGGCAACCTATGAAAAGAAAGAAGTATACATAGGAAAATTTTAATGAGTTCTAGGATTGCAACTAGAGAAACTTATAGCCAAAGAACTACTAGACATCCAATAATGGCATTGCTAGTGGGAAGTCACATCCAATATATCATAAGCATCAAAGAAAATCACTAAATTTATAATAAGGCATCACACATATATACAGAGAGTTCTAAATTCAGCCTTTTTGATAAGGTTGACATGTTGTTGTAGTCAGATGCATCAAGATATATTACCCTTTGGGCTTCTTCTAGAGGATCAATGCCTAAAGATCTCCTTAGAAATCAATAGATCATAATTCTGGAAGCAAAACCAAAGTTTTCAAATTATCAGGAACTTGCTAGCAACATTGAAGATATTTCATAATTTAAGCTTTAAGGTTTTAATTATGCTTTCGACCAAAAAAAGGGTTTAAACATATGCAGTGATTAAAATGACCTTAGCAATAGTGAACCATCTATCTACATTAGGGTGCCATCTGCACCAAGGTATGTAAATGAAATGTATATTGCGCTGCTTGAGATGATAAATAATCACCAATAAAAATGCTTCTATTTCAAGTTTTAGACACTTACATCCTCAACTGCAACTCCAAAATGGCCAAAACCAGTTCCAATGTCATACCTATCAACTCCATAATCTGTCAACATCAAAACCATTAACAACCCAAGTTAAAAGTGCATTCATCCCATAAGAAGAGAAATGAAGTGCGCTATAAGCATGAACCCATACGAAATTGTGTATTTCACAATTAGTTGGTTAAAAATTAATAAGATGGCTTACTATAAGTGAGTTCAATGACAAAGTGGGAGTCTTCAGGCCCAAATCCAAGAAAGGCATTTGTATATCTCTCCTCAGGTATGTCACGCTTCCGGAGCAGCTTCATCCCAAGACATTCCGTATAGAATCTGCAATCATCACATATTAACTAGAGCTTGAGAATAACTATGCATCATACTTCATAACCAATTCTATAATGTGACCAATGAAGCAGTACAACTAAAATAGACATACTTTATGGTCTTGTCCAAGTCCCCAACACGATAAACAACATGGAGCATTCTCCTCTTGTCCTTTTTGGTCCACTCCAACACATTTTCCTGGCTAACTGCAGTGCTTTCTTGTGTCATATTTGCAACTGTGCCAGCCTCAATGCTGTTTCCATCTGCTCTTAACATCGTAGGTGCTTTTATACCAAAAGGCTGTGCCTGTGGAATTGCTGCATTGGCACTTGGCAGTATCATCTTGATAAGTGCATGACAAAACAATGTCTTTTTTTTAGAGAAAAACAATATCTTTTTTATGATGCATATTGTTGTCATTGATGACAATAACAAGGGATAAACATGCATATACTATTATTTGTCTTATTTTGCTTGAATACCTATAGGACCCCGGCCCAATCATGCCATAGGCAGTGAATAAACCAAACTAGACCATTAAAATAGACATGAAAGCTCCAAGAATGAAATAGTGCAGTGATGCGAGACCAAAATTATTATCCATATAGCCACATTAGCAACAAGAAAATAATGAAATATAAACATAAACCAAGTAATTCAACATTATTAAAAAGTATCTTAAATCCATTATTTTAATGATTAGAAACAGCAAATAAATAAGCATACTGCTTCTGAACCACATAATTGGGTGGTAGTAAAAACAGTATACTAAATATCCAGGTTTAAGGTCAAGAAACTAATCGGACCAATCCAGTCCTTGTAGCTCTGTACTTCGTTGATGTTTATATGCGTTCAATTATAGCCCTTGCCCAGATACCCAATACCTATCAACGGTACAACTTTTCTGCCACCATTCACCCAAGAAAGAGGCCACCAAATTGTTCAGAACCTTCAGATGGATAACTAAGTGCGAAGTTTACCATCTATAATGTCAGCCACTACTTTCCACCGTGGTGACTACAGTCGCATTTCGTTAACCAGATTAATTTGTAGAAATCTATTTCAAAAGAAAATTAAATAAATAATCACTACCACACATCAAAGATATTGACGACAAAACTATTTATATTCATATAAAACTAGGCGGTCTCTTATTAGTGTTTCCCCAGAAACCTTACACCTTTACCTATAAAGAAAAGAGACAAAAATCAAACCTTTCACAAGATCGAAGTTTTCTAACAAGCTTATTAACTCCAATATGAGAATTAAACAGTTGAATGAGTGTATTTTAATGGAACATTAAGGAGACATCAGACAGAAGGAACTGGAATCAATGGAACCCTAAAAAAACCTTGAAAGTTACATCGAATACATTATACATCCATGTTATGAATGGTGGGCATAATTTAAAGCGAACCACGTGTAGATTCGGAATTCAATTACTGTTCGATGAGAACTACAACAAATCAGCGGTTTTGGGTGCTAATGATCCAAAAGTAGCGTTTTTCCCCTCCGGGAAGAGATCGAAAGCTACAAGCACTTACCGCTTCCAAGATGAAAGAGAGCAAGCCTTCGGGAGGGGTTATATGCTGTAAGCGAAACACCATGACGAGCAGCCGACGAGCATCTGAAAGAAGAGAGAGAAGGGCGAAAGGAAGTGAGATTAAGGGACGAAGACGCCATGGGAAGAATCCTCACCACTTGTCTCTGGCGTTTTTCTCTTGCTGGTTCGCTCACTCAGTAGCTGCTGCTGTGTTGCGATAAAAGAGATATCCTTATACGAGGGAGAGAGTAGTAGACTTGTGAATATAATGAATTTTATTTTAAAGTTTGTACGGTTGTGCGCCTTCTTGTGGCCTGTGCCTGTACATGTGAGAAAGGAGATTCCACATTTCCTCCTCAATGGATATAGACTTTGGGATTGGGTGGTCATTTCACTGATTTGCACCCGTCACAACGAAATTCGATTTTTCCTTTTTGTATGACCATGATTACAGCCTTCTCCTATAACCATCAATGCTACCAACATGACACTACAGCCGTCCGTGCACATCCTAGCGTTTTTTACTAACAGATTCAACTTTTAATTGATGATTTCCTCCAAAGCTCCAATGTTGTGGTGGTTTGGGGGAAAAGCTTTGGAAAGGAAATGGAAACGCAGGGATCTGCCACCCACAAGACACTATACACAATTGAGATGACATTGTAGCCGTATATTTAGAATATCTCTCCTACATGTTTCTTGGTGTCTGTATCCGTTGGCCACTAAAGCTCAGTTTGGAAGGAGTATAAATATAAATATGTAGAGTGCAAAACCTTGTATTTTATATGTATTTGTATTTGTACTCCTTCCAAACCGAGCATAAGAGAGCGTTCTACAATGTGGAATTGTGAATTGTTTTTCTTGTTGTCGATTCTTAAAATAAGGGAAAATTGTATATTAGTATCGTGCACTTTGGTCTTTAGTTTCATTGTGGTTTCCAAACTTTAAAACGTGCCAATTTAGTACTTAGGCCATGTTTGGGAGTGTTTATTCAAAATAAGTGTTTATTTGGGCCATTAAGCACTTATTGGTATTTGGGAAATAAATCCGAAATAAGTGCTTATTTTAAAAATAAGGGCTTATTTTTTAAGCCCAAATTTCCAACTTTTTAAGTGCTTATACAATAAGCACTTATTCAATTTTTCTCTTCCAAAATTATCCCTAGTTGATTTTGATAAAAGTACTCTCGTGAAAGTGTTTTCATAAAATGACTTTTATAAAAGTACTTTTATAAAAGTGCTTCCGTAAAAGTGTTTTTATAAAAGTAATTTAATAAAAGTACTTTCATAAAGGTATATTTTGAAATTTTGAAAGAAAATGAAAGACAAATTAGTCACAAATGCTTATTTAAGTACTTATTGGAGAAAAAGACTACCAAACATACCAAATGCAAATAAATGCTTATTTGAATAAGCACTTGTTTTTAAGCACTTATTTTAACTTAAGCACTCCCAAACATGGCCTTACATTAACTAGTTGTTAAGTGGCATGTAAAAGGATATAAATGCCCTTCGGGTGTCATCTAATTTTATTTATTAATAAGTTCTTTGCATTGGTTTTAATATGCGGAAGATGACGTCGAAAAAGGAAATATTGCCAAAAAAATTGTCCGAAGAACATCATACTCAATTTATTTTCTTTTTATTCCAAAAAACATCATCATTACTGCTATTAGAAAATAGGTCTTCCAAGACATAGTGAATTTTCAAAATGTGCCAATCCAGTAGCCTATTATCTAGAAATGGATTAAGATGACCCCTAGTCTACATTTTCTTCCATGCCACCTTCACAACATGGCCACAATTGGCTTCCGATGAAACTAAAGCTGACTCCATGTTCTAGAATGATCGTAGTTATGAAGGCCTCATCCAAAACAACTACCTCTTCAATGAACTCGTACGCCTTCCACTATGCTAGCTATGCCCATTCATTCAATTATTCTGTTGTGAAAACAAAAAATCCTACTTTCAAATTTGAAAGAAAATGAAGAACAAAATAGTTACAAATGCTTATTTAAGTGCTTATTGGAGAAAAAGACTACCAAATGCCCAATATGAAATAAGTGCACTTGAAAAAGTTGGGTGCCAAATGCAAATAAGTGCTTATTCGAATAAGCACTTATTCAATAAACACTTATTTTTAACATAAGCACTTCCAAACATGGCCTTAGTCAGTTCAAGAAAGAAAACCTGGATGATGAAAGTCATGAAACTGCCCACCAGGGGGACATTAGTAAGTACCCAAAAACGGGAGAAACAATGGAGATAAAAGCATCGTTTCGTGCATTTAGATTTTTTTCCATTTTTTCTCTAGTACTTTGCAATCGTCAAAGTTGTCTGGAGCGTCAACATGCCCCTTGGCATTAAGAAAGGGTTTAGTAGTGAAGAACCCTTATTCTTTGTTTGTTCAACCTAGCTTTATTTGTTGAAGAGGAAAGTACCCTAACTTTTAACATTTAAAAGGCACAAGGGCAAAATGGTCTAAAAAATATTACAAGGGGAGTTTTTCCATTTTGTAAATATTTAAGTGGTACACGATGCCATGTGATACACATAATTGACAGTTGGTTAACGATAGGTACTAAATTGACACATTTTGAAAGTTTAGGTAGTAGACTGCCATGTTTTAAAGTTCAAGGACCAAAGTGAAACTAGGCCCAAAGAATAGGGTACTAATATGCAATTTTCCCTAAAATAAAACAAAACTATTTGGTTTGAAAACAGATTGTGTTTTTCTTAAAAAAAAATTCTCTTGGTTGTGTGCGTATTTTTTGTTTTCAAAACTAAAACAAAAAACATGTTCTTGAATCTGGTTTTAAAAACATGTTTTCATCTGATTATTTAACATCATATTCCATAAATCATATAATTTTTAATACTAAAAAGCTTTTTTTTTTAATGGGGCGCGATGTGTATACTCCTAGCTGGAAGATGATCTGAACACTAGTTGCGTGGCGAGCTGAACCAAGCTACAAGATAATAGATCAAAGAACCCGGGGTGGCTAACCCGGTGAGGTCGCTCCGATGCTTAAGTCAATACTATATTATAGATGCGAGCTGAATACTTGAATGCTAGAGTGCTAGTGAACAAATAATCGTGTGTACCTTTGCCTTGGGGTTCGATGTCCTTATATAGTGGAGTAGCTGTGGATCTTACGAAAAAGCTCCGGGATCTCCAGGCTGCATAGATAAGATTTGTTCAATTTTTTAAGGAGAGCAATGTGTCAGTTGATAAGGTTTATCACTTTCCTCCGATTCGGGCGGAGTGAGGATGAGTCCTGTCGTGATCCCGAGAAATTCGGGGTCCATTGGGGAGGCTTCTGGAGTCGATTACATGGCGCTTCGGTTCTTTAGCCCCAAATTGGTACTTTGGTTCTTTAGCCCCAAACTGGATTGGGTGTCAAGGTGCCTTTATGCCGAGGTGGTTTTGGGTCGAGCTGACTGAATGCCCAAGCTCTAATTGTTGCGGACTGGGTTCTTTTGGTTGAGTTGTCACTCCTCGAGCAGATCGCGTCCATGTGACCTCTTCTTACTAGGTCATGCCAAATCACCCTTCATCAATTGCCCCCCCACTCCTCGTGCCAGGGGTCTTGACCCGGTGCGGGGAGTTCATGACAAGTCCAGGTGGATTTGGCATGAAGTCTAGGTGACATGGAGGGCGGACGGTTGGTCGGACTTGTTCAATCATCCGACTCAACCAGAAAATGACCCAGATCACGTCTTGGCTACGCGCGGACGTCATACTGTTTATAAATTCCACGAACGTCAAAGGGTGTGCTTAACCAATTTCGTCATCGGGTAGCGTGTAGCCGGTTTTCATGGGAGCCGTTAGATCGCACAGATCTCAACCGTTGATTGCCAGATGTGATGGATTATAAATAGGGGCCGAAGGGCCCATTATCCTCGCCATAAATCGTGTAACTGAGCTTTCTTGAGATCGCGTTGGAATCTTTCAGCTCACCATTCTCTCCCCTTGTGTCCGAGGTCATTATCGCCTTCTTTGGTGAGTTCCTCTTCTTGCACTGGTTGTTCCCTTTTCCTTTTCCTATCCAATATGTCTAGTGCTAGCATAGATATGTTACTTTGTGATTATAGTGAGCCCGAGTGTGCCGAGGCGCGGTCCTCAGCTCCCGTCGGGGAGGCTAGCTCTTCGCTAGAGAGCTCCTCTTTAAACCTTTTAGGAGAAGTGCCTTTACCTGACGTCGGGCCAGCCCAGTTTGAGGGAACCAAACCTTAGGTAGAGTGGCCGACTTTCGAAGAGGAGGTTTCGTCTTCTACTCGAGGTTGGGATCCAGACAACTTCGGCCCTTCTACAAAGACCCCAGACAGGTTGCTGTCCTTAATAGCTCGTTACCGTCTCCCCGATACTCTCATCTTCAACATTCCTTTGGGTCAGTACCCTTGGGTCCATGACCATTATGAACTTGCGGTTTTTTAGGAGCACCTTGTAGCTGGGCTGCGCTTCCCGCTCCACCCCTTCATCGTAGAAATTATTAAGTTTTCTTAACATCACTATCAATCAGCTACACCCAAACTCCACCCGTACTATTGTTGGTACAATCTCTCTCTTCCACGAGTATAACCGACCTCTCACTCTAGATATCTTTAGCTCAATTTGTTCCATTAAGAAAAATTCTACTTGCTTGTTCGACGACACCCGACAGAGCTACTATATCTCACCTCGCCCCGGTTTCAAGGTTCTATTCGGTAACCCAAACATTGTATCAGCCTAGAAGAGAAGATACTTTTTTGTTCGGAACCTCGAAGGATGGCCATTCCCGACTCACTGGTGAGTGGCCATTAAGGACCCTGGGGTAAGGCTGGATGCAGAGACCAGGGTGGTCATCCATTCTTGGAGGGACCTTGGCCTTGAGATGGAAGATTTCCTGGCCGAGGAGAAGCTTGTGCGAGCTGGGCTGAGTCCTCCTAGTAGACCTCTACCTCGGCACACACATTACTTCTCCCTCTTTTTCTTTTTGCACTTACTTTAGTTCGTAGCTGACTGGAAAAAATTCTCTTTTTCTTCTCTTTTGCAGGAGCTATAATGGGTGTCAATGCCGCTAACCTCTTAAAGAGTGTTCAGAAGGGGAAGAAAAGAAAGGCCTCGAAAAGGTCCCGTCGAGAGAAGGCTACCTCTTCGGTTCCTGCTGAACCCGAGGTCACAGCGCCAGAGCCAACCTCTGTCGAGCTCTCAGGGGAGGAGGTTCATCCCCAACCTTCGGTTGTTGACCTAGAAGAAGATCAGGATGTGGAGACCCC